AGTTTTACTTAGTTTTATTTAATTATTTAGCAACATGTGTCGGTGATAAAAATTATTTTGAGGTTTTTAATTGAATAATATGTTTTTATAGATATTAATGAGCTGAAAATAAAATAGGGTTTGAGAAAGAAAAAAGAGTACTCTGTGTGTTTCAATGAAAATACGAGTCTTGAACTTTTATTTTCGTGAGTCCATGTCTTTCGATTAGGGTCGTCAGGATTTTAATATAGAGTAATTTCCTAAAACTTTTGATATTTAGTATATAGTTAAAGAAAATAACTCGACTCTAACTAAAGATACATATAAAACAAATAACATAACTAAGAACATACAGAAAACAAACAATATAATTGAAGTTGGTATTAATACAAAAACTACTTCTAACGACTACAATAATATACTTAATTTTAGAACATAAAATCAAACAACAAAACTAAACATTCATAGTTAATAAGAAAATCATATTAATTTAACCAATGTTGCACTCAATTTGAAAGCACGGTGGATAGTAACGATGGACTTATATATATAATAGGAGAATGTTGATCCGTATTAAGACATGGAAAAAGAGGAGAAAAATAAATAAGGTGGCCTACTTTCAACAAACTTGCGTTGTTATCATCCACATAATCATATGGTCACTCATCGCCCACCTATCCAATGTAACTCCATTATACCACAAAGGTGCCTCTATTTTTCAGCCATTCAACTTGCTTGGAATTGGACCTTTCCCTTCTCTCAACTTTTCCTATGAATTGATGGCAAATTACCAAATAATATGAAATCTCATCTTATTTAGATATTTTAAAATATTACAATATTATATTAGGTGAAAAGAGGAAAAAGTTAAAATGATCTATGAAATCATTCATGCTAAACTTTAGTATAACGAACGACTTAAAAATATCCAATGGTTGAAATATGTTCTTTTTCTTGAAAAATTAGCTAATTTTGATCTTCTTATTTATAAAAAAAAATATTTATTTTTTAGTCTCCATTTTTATGTAATCATTTTGTTTATTAAAATAATAAGTGATTATTTTAGGTGGGTTAGGGCAAGGCAACCTGCCAATCAATTTTTTTCAAAAAAATATTATGTAATATTTTTTTTAGTATATTATCACTTTTTATAATATTTAAAATAAATAGTATTAATTTTGATCATTCTAAACTTATGTTTGTTATTAATATATATATATATATATATATATATATAAATATATATATAAATAGTCTCGTTAGTTATTTTTATGAAATATTTTATTTTATTATTATGTCAAAATAAATTATTATTAAAAAAATAAGTTAATTTATTTGATTTTTACTAAATATATAAAGAAAATAATAAAAAAATATGGATTGATCTAATAGTAAACAAAGAGAGTTAGATTTTTTTTAACCCATTTTATTAAGTGCGATAGGACCGAACTCATTTTACCACCCCTTATTAAAAATGAAAAATGATAGAATATTATAATAATCATTTCTATGTTATGTGTTGTTTGATCTTTGTCTTTAACATTATTGAAGATATAATTTTGACTCAATAATAATAAGTTGTCTCTTAATTAAACAACTAATATTTACTTATATATAAATTAAACTTTAAATCTTTTTATAATATCTTTATTTTTGTGATAAAATAATATTATAATAAATGTTCGTGTTTTTTTTTTTTGCTTATGTGTGAGTATGAGATGAGTTAAAAATATATTACAATAAATATTTGTATTTTTTGGTTAACTCGTTGAATTTGTCCTATTTTAGTGGATTGAGATAGTTTTTTTTTAATTCATTGGAATTATAATAACAATATAGGATTCGAATTTAGGATCATGTACATGTCTCTTAACACTAATTAAGTTAGGTTGAATTAGATAAATAAACTTATTAAATTTGTCAAATCAATAGATCTATCTAACAAAATTTTTTACAATAAAAACAAATTTATAGTGAGTTTATGTTAGATAAATATTTTTGTTTTATAATTTAATTTCCCTTTCTAACTACTTGTTTACATTGTATATAGAATAAAATTATATTATTTTAATCACATGTTTTACTAGTACATTTTATAAGTGTCTTTTTTCAAAAGTACAATTTTTTTTTACATTTTATTTGAGTTGTATTAGTTTAAATTAAGATTAATTTTCAAGCTTATAATTTGATTATGGAAATATATATTATTTTTTCTCTTTACATGAAAAAAAAAACTTCTCTAATGAATTTTATAAATAATAATAAACTTATAAATTAAAGTGATAATGTATATTAAAAACATTTAATTAATTTTTTGTTTTTTTTAATAATTTGGGTGGCTTGAAGGTAGACCAATTTATCAATCCACTATTTTTAACCAACTAACAAACTCTTTAACTTATTAAGTGAGGTGAGTTATATTCTTCAATCCTTTTCTTTTTGTGAGTCAATTCACTCCACTTCACTTTACATGAGTTGACTCACTCTCTTGCCCTTTCTTATTTTCACTAAACAAATACTATCTCAATTCAAATATATATAAAAAATAAATACTTAATTCGTTAATATCAATAAAAATAATTAAATTATTTAGTTGTAATTAATAATACTATTATTGAAGTTTTATTCTAAAAATACTCATAAAATAAATGGTGCAAGTGGAGATTATATTTAATAACACTACTCAAAAAAAATAAATTTTCAATTAATAAATACGACTTACGGTATTAGTTTTCCAATAATACATTTACTTTTATAGATAATGAATAGATGACTCATTGATAAATATATAATAAAAAAATATATAAATATATCTATTAATATATTAAAAATAAACTTACGTTTCATGCAACTAGAAGCAAAATAAAACTACATGATGTTATATATATATATAAGAAAAATTATTTTATTTCAGGAGTAAGTTTACCTAGATTTACTCTGTTAAATAACTTATATTTTCGCATCAAATTTCAATGATCTAATCATTAAATTTAAAGTTTTTAATTCATAAATCAAATTTCCAAATTTATAGAAAATTTGAAAATCATTTGATACTTCGTTTTATTAATTCAAAACAATGTATAAAATAATTTTATGATTATCCGTCAATTTGAATTAATGAAATAAATATTAAATAATTTTCAAATTTTCTAAAAATTTGTATATTTAAACTTTAAATTAAGCGGTTGGATCATTAAAATTTGATATAAAATATGAATTATTAAACGTAATAACTAATAAGTCTAGGTAGACTTACTTATGGAATAAAATGATCTCTCCTCTTTTTCTATCTTGATATATATATATATATATATATATATATATATAATATATATA